ATGAACAATTCAGACATACGCCCTAGCTACATAAATATACAATGATGTTGATTTCAAGCATGCAGCTCCACCTTGAATTTGCAGAATACTCATCATTCCTTTTGAGAATATCCCACATATACTGATTTTTTTAATTTAAGCCAATTCTTTCTATAAATGGACTTGAATAAGATGCTTTTACCCCAGAAGCTACATGGAAAGTCACTGAAACACTAATATCTAAATGCATAGTTTTACCTTCCACGAGCCCATAGTCACATTACCATTTAAAGCTCTGCCATATGTTTACAAAGATAGTATGTGAGCTTCCACGAAGAACTCATTTATTCCATGAAAAGTATGCCATCAATGCCTTTCAGGATCAGTATGAAATGTTTCACAATCTAAAAGGAAATGTATGCAATAAAAATTTCAGATATTTAGTGTTAACATGACAGCACAGAGACCCCTCTCTCTACTCTGTCATGACTTCAGGACGGAGATATCTTCTCTTATCCATATATAGTGTCATACTTGGGAAGTTTCATTCCTAGTAGATTAACTAGAAGTGGGAGACAATGTGAGATATCACAGAACCAGAAAATAACATCCTTTTCATGCCATCAGCGGTTATTTCTTTATAGGTAAACTACTGCAGCAATAAAGGTAGATTCATCCAATCATTGTCCCTGAGCACAGTGATAGCTATTTCTAGGGAAGAGACTGATCAGCCTGAGCTAATCAGACATATAAAGGAGAAAGCACTCTTCATTTTTCACCACAGTTCATGCAACCCTTTAATCAGTGACTAACCTCATTGCCAAAACAATGTCATCTCAAAAAATGCATTTACCAGAACAGCTCGTCTATGAGAGTGTGAAAGATCGAATTTGTCACTGAAAATGAGACATAAAATCAGACTGAAAGGGGAGCTGGGGCAAGAGAAAGCAGCGTGTGCAATGACAGGGTCCCAGCCTCACAGCAAACATGCACATTTCATCCGAGCCTGCAGAAATTCAACGCGCTTTGCTTCAGCACCATGAGCCTCTCTCTGGGTGCCCGTGAGCACTCGGTCCCTCCACGGGGCACACGCGGCGAGCGGCGACGGCGCGGCGAAACCCCGGGGTCAGACGCCCGTTCCCCGCACCCCATCCACCCCCCGCCCTGTACCCCGGCTCACCGTGTGGGAGGCGTTGCTGGCCCTGAGCGGCGGCAATGCGAGGGGCGATGGCGGGCCGGTCCCAGCTCCTGCCCGGGAGACCCCGGCTCCAGTGCCTGGGGAAGACTGCAGCGGGCGGCCGCTGTCCCCTGCCCTGCCTGCGGAGAGCAGAGGGGTGAGCGCGGAGGGCAGCGGCGGCCCCTCGGGCCTCGTCGGGGCGGCGGCGGCCCCGGCGCTCGGCCGGCACCGCCGCCCGTCTTGCTTTGGGCAGAAGCCATTAAAAGCTAATCACCGCCGCGGCGCACACACGCACCGATCCGGCTAATAGCGCAGGCGGGCCACGCTCGCCCGGCTAAACCCTTCATCCGAGATTAACCCGCCACCGGCAGGCGCCTAACCGGGAGAACGAGCCGGCTCTGCTCCGCGCACGCCTCGAGGCTGGACGGCTGCCCGTCCCCCCCGAGCCGTCTGGCCCGGCGAAATCCCGGCGCCGCCGGGGACCCGCCGGGAGTTCACAAGTCTGCAGCGCGAAGCAGAGGCGAACACCGTTGCCCCTTGTCAAACGCGGCCGCTCCGGCACTCGCGGCGACCCCCAGTTCTCCCTGGGTCGTTTCCCCAAGTGTTTTCTCTCGGCCCCTCACCACTTGCTCCCCCGAGACAAACTCGCCACCCCGCACGACAGAAGCTCGCCGGAGCCCAACGTGCAGCCCCCGACAGCCCCCCCGGGCTCGGCTGCCGCGGGGGGGGTGGGTGGATCGGTGTTCGGCACACACGGCACCGCTGCGGCGCCAGCCGCAGGGCGCCCGAGCCCCCCGTCCTCCGTCCCCCCTCCGCCGGGCCTCCGCAGCCCGGCCCAGCGGTGGCTATCGCGGCGGCCCACTCGCTCCTTACCAGCTGGGTAGGCAGCACCAGCGGCGGCGCTAGCTGAGGGTTTTCTGGTTAACATGGCCGCTGGAGAGGAGGGAGAGGAAAAGGCATGTCAGGGTGGCTCTCCTCCGCTGCTCCTCGGCCTCTCCGGGCGGTGTCTGCCTCTCTTCTCCGATCAGCTACAACCAGGCCCAGACACGTCCTGCGCTGCATCCCCCTGGCTCCGGGCCCGCCGGACAGACCCTCCAACGGCCCGCCGTCGCCTCCCGCCGCAGCCGCAGCAGCAGCAGCCGGGCCGCCGCCGCAGCCCCCGGCCCAAGCTCATCACCTCCCCCGCCCCCGCCCCGATCGCCCCGGTCCCCTCGCACGGAGGAGGGAGCAGCAGCAGGCGGCCGGACGGAACCCTCCTCCTCGCGCGGCGGAGCGGGGACAAACAGCGCACAGCAGCGGCAGTCCCCGCCCCGCCGCCCGCGTCCCCTCCCTCCGTCCCTCCCTGCCGCTCCCTCGCGTTCCCTACCGCTCCGCCGCCGCGGAGGCGGCGCGGCCCGCGGCTCCCCCCGGGCCCCGCACGTGCCCCCGCCCGCACAACGGCCGCGCCGGCCGCGCGTCCCCGCGCCCGCACAACGGCCGCCGCGCTGGGCCCGGGCGCGCGCCCGGCCGTTGGTCACCCCGGCGGCACAGCCATGTCTGTGCCGGGCGGGGAAAGACACAGGGACAGACACAGGGACAGGCACAGGCCGCCCGGCCAGCCCCCGCCCCGACAAGGCCCGTGGGTGCCACGGGCAAGGGGGAGATGCCGGCGGGAAAGTCGGCGTGTGTGGGAATCGTGGGGAGGGGAGAGGAGCTCCTCTCCCGCTCCTCAGGCAGCGGGGTTCGCTCTGCCAGACTGGAAGGACAAAGGTGGCCCCGTAGGAGGAAGATTAAATAACTTGAAATGTGTAGAGGGATGAAAACTTAAAAAAATGGTAGTGAGGTAAAAGAAGCTTTTGGGATTGCCCTGGAGGCGTAAGTGCCTCAGCTTAGAACGAGGGAAAGGAGAGTGCGAGGGGCGGTACTGGCCTTGTTTTCCAAACTGTGCGACGTGCTTGGTGGAGTACAATGCTTTGAATTCCTGGTTTGTCCGTTTGAACGTCACTGCAGCCAAAAATAGATGACTAAACATTTGCTCTGCTTGGGACAGCACTGAAATGAACTGTCTTACCTATGCTCAACCTTTTTTGAAGTCCATACAGACCTCGCAGGTTTTCCTTTTTGAAACAGCTGGTAGATGTGTAGACAGACCTCCCTTCATCCCCTTCCACAGAAGAGAAAAAAAATGAATCTCCCCTTTTCCTATACCTAAGCAAAAAAAAAAAAAAAAAAAAAAAAAATACTTCTTTGCCTCTTCCCATACCACAGATACATGTATAAGCAAAAAACATTTCCTGTACTGGTACAAAGAAATAAACAATTTCCCTAACCCCTCCTGTCATGCAGAGAAAACAATCATACTTTCTCCCATTCACACCCACCTAATCTTTTCCTTCACTGTAGCTGAAAAAAAGCTTTGTCTTCCTCAATATCCCTGTAGATGTCCACAGGCCCTCCCTGTGTCCTTTCCCATTGGCTGCCAGGTGTATAAATGGTGTTTTCTGATTACTTTCTGTATTTTCTCATAATTTTCAGAAGCTGCGCATGCACATCAAAGCTATCTGAATATCAAACACTGCATTAACATTAGTGTTCTCAGATATCTTAAACGTTTCAGGAATGAAAAAAAAAATACTTTTCTAGTTAGTCTAAAGAGGGGAAGGGCTTGTTCACCTTCAAGCTGGATAAGAAAAACCAGAATTGATATCAATTATCTTTCCATAGGGCTTGCAGGAGTTTTTCATCTTAAATGATGTGCCTTTTCTGAGTGTCGATGTCACAGATGGTTTCATGCACGTTCTGGGGTTAGTTACACCTTAACATTGAGATAAGACAAAGCCCACTAAGTGCCCTGTTTCAACTCCTTTCCAGTCAGGTACACTATGCACAGTATGCCTTCCACAGTTTATTCAACACTCTTGGACTGCTATGCATACTATGTAAAAAATTGAGCTAGTCTATCACATAGTAAACAGTATTTTAACTCAGTGGGAACACATTACATTGGTACCTGTCCTCTTTCTAAAACTGTGTGCACTGTAGGCATTCATCTTGAAGCCTGCGAGTGTCCTTGGGCCTGTTTGGATGCCTTTCTTTCTCTCTCTCCGTCACTTTCTCCATCTGCAACCCATCTGCTGTCAAAGATGGAGTAGTAGTACCTGATGGAGTCTGAAGTGGAACTCAAGATAAGGGCAAGCCCATCTTGATTCCTTCTGAATGCAATGCAAGCAACTTCAGTTTAAAAGCCTCTTTCATGCAGGATTTAGGTTGATAAAGAGGAGGAACATGCTAATATAATTGTAAAATACCTTGGCTGCAAATAGCAGTGCCTTTAACAGCCTCTTCAAAATCACAGAGGCGGATATATAAAGAAAAGAAGAAAGCAAAGCCTAAATACTCAAAGACAAAGGAAAGGTTAATTCTTTCACACCAAGTCTTACCCTCAGGAATCTGAAATATGTCCTGTTGAGTGGCCACAAAACTTTTTTCTTTCTAATACTGGCCATACTGAACATATCAGCACTTTCCAGACCAGTGCTACACAGGATGAGATCAACAGACTTCAGTTCCCAGGACAGAAATAAGTATTAAGCATCTCACAGGAGAAAGTGTATGGTTCTCAGAAATTAGAGAGCAAAATGAATTAGGGTTTTATTGATCCTTTTTCCTGCTCACGCAGCTTTTATTACCCAAAGGTGTGAACTAACCTGTAATGATAGAAGATTAGTCTTCCCTTTCTTGCAAACAAATCCAGTGAGTGTTCATGAGTGACAGATTACTTAGAATCATAAAATAGTTTAGGTTGGAAGGGACTTTTAAAGGCCATCTGGTCCGACCCCCTGCAATGAGCAGGGACAGTTTCAAAAAGATCAGGTTGCTCAGAGCCCTGTTCAGCCTGATCTTGAATGTTTCCAGGGAAGAGGCATCTACCACCTCTCTGATGGCACCACCTATGCCGAAGATCTCTTACTCATATCTAGTCTAAATCTACCCCCTTTTAGTTTAAAAACAGTACCTCGTCTTATCGCAACAGGTCCTACCAAAAAAGTTTGTCCCCATCTTTCTCATAAGCCCTCCTTAAGTATCAAAAGGCCATAATAAGGTTTCCCTGGAGCCTTTTCTTCTCCAGACTGAACAACACCAGTTCTCTCAGCCTATCTTCACAGGGCAGGTACTCCATTCCTCTCATCATTTTTGTGGCCTTCCTCTGGACCCACTCCAACAGGTCGAACAGGTACTTGCAAAGGGCTTGTAAGATAATGTCATCAAAGGACTTGTTTTTAGGAGAAATACCTGAAAGCTTTCTTTCCATATAGGTACCCAAAGAGGCCTGCAGACTGGAAAGTGCCAGCTCAGTGGGGCACAGGCAGTACTGGTTCTGTACCACAATGAACACCTAAGGAAGAAGGTGAAGAGGCAGCAGTTGGAAGTGCTGATGGAATCAGAAGGCTGTTTGCCACAGCTGTCTTGAAGAGGCTTGGGTTGGTCTGTTACAGATATTATCCTCCCATGATAAACTATACCAAGTGTTCTAGAAAAAAAATTAACTGTCTGGTAAAAATGATGTGGTGAAATCACAACCATTAAATAAGAAAATTAAAAGTCATTAAAAAAAAAAAAAAACAACAGAACCAGAACAGTCTAGAACAAAGCATGTAATCTGTAAAACCTTGTCTAAAAGTATTCCTGCCCACATAGTACATTAAAATGCATTATTGATGATAATATGCTAATACAGATGGATACAGAACATGCTGTGTTTCTTGAGCTATTCAGTCAGGGCCCTTGTGACCAAGACAGATTCTAAGCAGACTGTGAGGGGCTGCTGAGGTCTGTTTTTTCAGGCTGCCTTGGGACCCAGTTCATATCTAGTTACCCTCTTAGAACACGGTATCTCCTTAGCATCACTGTGAGATCTCCTATGCCTGTCCACTTACCTCTCCAAAGTGGGTGCTGGTTAGGGTTTAATTATATGGGTCTTTGGTATGTAGTTGTAGGGCAAGCGAGACTGGCTGGTCAGTCATACAGCATCTTCTCCACTGTAGTATTAGCATATGCTTATGTGGTCAGACACCAGGGAATTCCTGAGAAGCCATGCATGTCCAAAACTGCAGTGATGACACTGTGGAGCTCCCAGAGTGACGGGTGCAGCCGTTGCTCAGCACCTTGTTATGCTCTGACTATTCTCATCAGACACTGCAAACTATTTTTGCTTTAGATAAATGAGCTCTAGGTAAAGCAAATACAAGACTCCTTGAACATCATGGACTTGGAGGCCATGGCACTTAGGGACATGGTTTAGCGGTGGACTTGGTAGTGTTAGGTTAATTTTTAGGTTTGATGAACTTAAGGGTTCTTCCCAACCTAAAAATGATTCTATGATTCTATGAAAAGTAGAGGTAAGACAAACCTAGAACAAAGAACAAAAAATGTGGGTTTCTGCTATCTTTTAACTGTCCCCTCATACTAAGCAGAATCTTTACTCATTCTCAACATCTTTTAAAATGTTCTAGGACCTAAGCTATTTAAAAATACATGATTTTTTTCCCCATTGTTTTTGTGTAGCAAACCTTAGATGCTGAGGTAGAGGCATTAAACCACTTAGAATATGTCTCACCATCAATTAAACATGGGTCCAAGTCTGTTGTCTCAGCCAGTAATATGCATTTTAAAAGTAAACCCTTAAGCCCACTAAGTGGTTGCCTCAGGACGGCCTGAACATAATCAGCACCAGGTTCTCATTAATTTGTCGTGGATAATTTAGGCATGAGCAGGACTTTGTACACTACAGTGTTGTCTTTCAGCAGTTCATGCTGAGAACAGTGTAGGCAGTTCAAAATACAGCAGCCTACAAATAATAGCATTGCAGATGGAAAGCGCACCAGTCAGGGCTCAACTAGCTCTCAAACATGCACTTCACTGTATGGCACACGTGTAAGGTTTGTGACTCTACTCTCTCTCTCTACCATTCCCAGAAACAAAAAATTCCCAGCGGAGCATCACCTGCAGCTTAGAATAAAATTGTATTTCGATGCAATTATAAAAAAATGAGGTTATGTATTCAGAGTGTAGAGAGTTACTGCCACAAGTCAGCTTGCTAGTACATATTCATACGGACATGAGGGTATATGAAGCTAAACTGGCTTGCCAAGTTCAGGTGTTCGTTGGCCCTCATTCCAGTGTATGTTCTGTCGAGGTTAAACTTTATTCTGTGTTCAAGGGTTTAAGAACTGCTATTTAAGAACACATAATTCACAATTTCTCTTACTGTATTAAGACAAACTAAGGATGTTTTAGTGGTCAGTGAGTTCACCCTGAAGAGAATCTCTGAGATCCTGTAAGTCTACGAGCACACAAGTAATTTTTTATTCTTCTGCTATTACAGCTATATTGTGGGAGACTATCTCACAACATGTTTGTATTTTAGTGCTGGCAAATTGCATATTAAATAAAATATGCAATTTTCATATTTTCACCAGACTATGCCAATGTTTCTAAATTTCTGTATTATATATTTCCTATCTAATTTCTGGATTCTTATAGAATTAATATTCATTAGAACATTAGACTTATTCTTTTGTGTATGCTCTCAGCATGTATAATGGAAGGAGAAATATTCCTGTTTTCCTGTCTCATACAGCAGAAGCAATCCTGATGGAATCCATGGAGTAGCATTAATATAAAATTAATCTTAGGGAAAAAGCCTAATGCTGGCTGATTCTTTTAGCTGATGGCACACCCTCCTTTATATACTCAAGAAAAAAGTGAACCTTTTGAACAAGAAAAGCAGGAAATTACTTATGTGTCCTTAGCCCTTCTTCTTCTGTGGACACTTCCCACCATGTTGTGAAGCTCCTGTGTTTCTGCAGCTACACAAACAAAGGAAGATGTGATAATTGCAGAGACATAAATTAAAACTACTGTCTCTCATGTCACTTGAATGTTAATCTTTCCTAAAAAGGTCCTATAAAACAACTGTTACTGCAAGTTTAGTACACGAATGATATTTAGGATTTCTACCAAACTCTTTCAGAGAGAAACCACGAACTTGTTAAACCTTCTGTCATTTCTGAATTCATTTCCTGTTCTAACCACCTTGAAAATCAATATGTGGAAGGTCAGGGTAATCTTTCTTGCACTCATTGTGTGGGCTACTCAGTTTCAGAACCAGCTGTTCATGCATGGGGCTAGTCCCAGCAGTTGAAACCCTGGTAACATTTGCTCATCCAATTCCACATGTGAAAAAAAAGAGACTTAGCTTTAAAGGTTTTACTGGAGTCAGCTACTCTCCACAGCAGTGTTTCATGGAAGCTGGGATTTAATTCTGTCAGGTGCTGAGAGGTTTTAGCTCCCCTGAGTCAATGGGCCCAGTATCTCACAGGGTGTCTGAGAAATGACACACCTCACTCAATTGTGATAAGCTCATTAAAATCACTGCTCTACGAAAGCACAAAACTGAGACATAGTTAAAAGAGGTCAGAGGAACTCAGAATCCTGAAAGAACTCCAACCAAGTTCTTTTCCTCACCCAGGCTTTCTCTGGGCAGAATTTATTGATAATAACAGAAAAATGAATCATTAAGTCCCACAGCCCGAGTGTTATATTATTAACTAATATAACTGTCAGGATTTTTATGGGAACTTTTGAGTTAAACCATGAGCCACTTGCTGAAAAGCAAATTTAAGGCTATATGCTGGGAAAGAACTTTCTCATTAAAATATAATCAAGGTTTGTTAGGCAACAAGAAAAGAACCAACCTGATGCGCTGAATTAAACTGAGTGGGAACTAAAGATATCAGATAGCTGTGAAGAGTTCTTCAGCTCCCCATTTTACAAGGTGCAAGCCTTACATGGATTTACCATGGGAAAAACAGACTAAATCTCTTGAGTGCACAAAATAAGAAGAGCCCCTGACCATGTTTTCTAAGGATAGTAGGGGCAACATACACAGTACTTTTTCTTCTGTAATGACCCTCCTTACCCTTCTCCGTTTATCTCTGTGAAAAGGGTTTTAAGTGAGCATAGTCTGACTGCTAGTTGAGTAACAAGAAGGGATGTGCAGGCATGTATTTATAGTGGGGAGGGAAAGTTAAGAGTGATCTTCTTGATACCCCGTTCAATAACTAACTTGCTTCTGGTCCTTTCGTGTGGAAGTACCCTAAGCTGCCCAGCCTCTCATTTACCCTGCTGTGTGAATGCTTGGTGGATGTGTCTGTTCAGGTGTGAAGAGTGGAAGAAGAAAAATAGAAAATACATGATGTGAAAATGAAACAGAGGCTTTAATTTACTATCATCATTTGTAATCTCCTTCCAAAAGAATAAATGTGCACATTAACACACAAACAGTTCACAATAGATTCAGAAAATTGAAACTTAAAATCACTGTATAATTTGGAAAATTAAATAAATAAAGGAAAATTCCTGCAGATGTTCTACAAATAGAGAAAAAGAGAAAGCAGGCCCAAGGGATATTTCAGTATGTTTGCTACTTTATTAGTAAAATTAATACCAGTGGTTTCAAAAAGACCACTCACACACAGTTCCTCTTGATTAGAATCTGGGCTTTAAATTATACAACAAATCTTTTGCTTAGCTGAAATTTTAATTTTGATTTGCAGAAGGGTAGGGATTGCTACCTACAGGTAATTCTCTATAAACAGATTTAGTTGTGTGTGAAATGGGTAACATTGAACATGTGGGGCTAGGCTTAATAAGTGCCTAGTCCATAAAAGGAAATCACGTGTGGCAGAAAATATAGGTGCCAATGCCCATTCCTGTGCTTGGAAAAGTGTGATGTGGTGTCAAAGCAGATAGACAGAAACTACAGGTGACACAAATACTGCGGATATTTCTCCTTGCACGAGCTGGCCAGTTCAAGAATATCTTTTGAAGATGCCATCTGTATATTCTTTAGAGAAAAAAAGTCACTGTCATCACAGAGTCCCCTTCTGTACAATAAACTAATGGCAAAAGCACTCATTTGGCAAAGTTCAGTACATTGGACCTTAAGTCTCTGAAGGTGTGTAACAAACTACAAGCTGCTGAATCTGGAAACAGGAGTTCATTACTCACTGGGCCAAAGAGACGAAATGTTACAGAAGAGAAGTGCTAAAGAAAAAGAAGACTACTGCTGTGAGGTTAGACTTTAAAAGTGTTTTTTAAATGTTACAGAAAGCAGGGTAATATTCTGTCTCCCCAGTCATGCAATATGCAAAGTTTTTGTGAGCATTTTGAGTTCAGGTGAGCATTTTCAAAAAGGGTTTAACTTCAGTTTATAAAGGCTAATGATCTATTTCTGTAAACAGAAAATGCACTGAAAAATGGGCAGTAAAAACCCAAGAGGCAAGAAAGGACGAAAGTACAGGGTAAGAAAGATAACATGAAAAAGATTAAGGAAAGCCACATAGAAAGAGAAAAGAGGATGAAGCAAAGAAGTAAAATACAATCATCTTTTATTTTCTGACATTAGGTTCCTGGTAGAGTGATCTTTGCCTTTTTCCATCCCTCCATTCAGTGCTGTTTTCACTTTTATGTTTTAAGTCAACTTTTTTCTCCTACTTCTTCTGGTCTTGTTTTGCTCTCCTAACATTGTCCTTCGGTCAGTAGGAGGCTGCAGATGGACCACGTCTGTCTGTCTCCCAATATGTTATGTCGTTACAGGGCTATTTCCTTCCAGGAATCAGAGTGGATGATGATTGGAATCCTGCTGTCTGCAGGGCATCAGCTAGGGAAAAGGAGAGCTGGAAGTGTGAGAGAATGACTGGACAGGATCAGTGGGCTTAAGAGTGAGTAAAGTTTAAGGGGATTTTCCCTAATGCAAATAACTCACTGCTTGTTCAGTTTCTTTCCTGAGGGCTCTGTGCTAGTCCTACCCCTTCAGCTGAAGAATTTGTGTCTTGGGCACTTTCCCATGAGTGTTGCTGCAGCGCAAGTAGGCACAGGGGAATGGGAACCCAGTGATGACAGCCTCTTGGGGAGGGAATTGGGACCCTGAAAGGTAAACTTAAAAAAATTTAAATTTTCTAAGAAAGTGACTTGCTAAAAGCTCATTAATTTCAGGTCAATCAATTTTTGCTAAATCGATGTTTTATTTTATCCTATTGTACATTTATTTCTAGGTCCTTCCTTCCCTCACACCAAACTTGATAGATTTATCCAGTCTGCAATTGAAGGTGTAAGTTCTTCCCGTATGCTGAAGTCCTCTGCTTCCATTGCTGTGCTTTTGGTTGGCATGGAGGACTATAAAATGAATGCTATCCTGGCAGCCAGGTGTTCATGGTGGCAATGACATCTTCCCAATTAGCTTTCTGGATAAGATTTTCAACTTGCACTTCAATTGCTCAGTAAAGCACGCCAGGCTTCTTGTCACTGTGAGATACCCTGGATACTGTGAAGGACTCCACATTCCTGAGAGACTCTTATTGCAAGTTGACAACAATTCAGGTTTTCTGACTCTAATGGCGCCTCAAAATGGCATGGTCAAAGGGATGAATTCATTAATCACTGGGTAGATAAAGATTCATTCGGGCAGCAAAAAGGTATCTTCTCTTGGAAGTTGTAATGGGTTGCCAGACTGGCAACTGTACATAAATTACAGTTTCAAGAATATGTACTAAGTCATCTATTTCTGAAAGGTAACACAAGCCATGTGTGATGTGAGGTTACAACATAGGTCTAAGACATTTTCAGTGCCTGGAGAGTGCCACTGAACAGAGAGGTGATATATATACTGCCAAAATGAAAGTGAAAACATATTTTTCATAGCAAGTACTTTTCTCTGGCTTTTAATGAAGTAATGCAGTATAAATATGTGCCACTAACTTTCATTTTCATTTTTGTTTTTTGTTTTAGATAATTAAGTCTCCCTTGGCAAAGTGCCAGAACCACAGGAAACAAACCAGAGGACCAGAGACACAGGAGCTGATAAGAATGGAGTACACTTTTCACAAGGATGGCTGATTATTTTTATAATGTATTTCTTAAAATAATTTTCCTCTTTTGGCTTTTAGACAAAGTTGTAGTTGCTGCCTCCAAGACTTAAAGTAGAAATTCCACACTGCTCCACAGCTTTTTCCAAATCCTGTAAGAATGCAGAATTGGTGCATTTCCTAGAGTTTACCCATGGTATTCATTTCAGAAGAGCTTTCTCTTTTCAGACTGAAATCTGGACTGCAAAGAAGTATGCACATTGTTTCATATATATACACATTTATTTTTTCATACGGAAAGATAAATAATCAGAACATGTTGATCCCTTGAGAAGATAAGGTTTTTGAGTAAATATTCAACTGTTATAGCATTAGATGTGCTGAAACAACATCAGTCGAATATAGCAGACCACCCGTGCTCACTTTTAGGGAGTTAATAGCAGTGGATAGGAACTTGTTTGATAAGAAGGCTATTCATAGGGGCCATCAGCATCAGGCAGGACATCTGACTGCTTCATGGTCTGTACAGAGAAAGCCATAAATGTTTAGAAGTTTTGCTATGCAAATTATTACAGAGAGAAGAAACTTCCTCAATTTATTTTCACCTATCTTGAAAATTTAAACCCTTTCTTTTCCACTGTGGAGCAAAATCCTCCATGATCTACATGAGCGGATAACCAAGGATCAACAGAATATCTCAGCCATGAAACATGACAGTCTTTGAATGCATCTCCAGGAAATATTTGCTTAGGGAAAAAAACCAACAGTTAACCTCAAGCAAGCAAATCTCTCACAAGGAGGCATTTTCATTTCCCGTGTTCCCCAAGCACTGTGATGTGAAGTCTTTGAAATGACAGTAGCTGCAGAAGACAGGGGCTCAGGAAGAGAACATGTCCCAGGGATATGCTGTGGCTCCAGCAGCTATGAGGGAAGCATCAGCTTAGAAAACAGCACCCAACACAGCACCTCTGCCACAAGGATCAAATGGAAGAAGGCAAAGCTGATTCCCGAAAAGCCAGCCATCTACAATCAATGCACTTATCAGCAACTTGTGTAAGAATGTCTATCAGTTGCATAAACACTATTCACACAACTCAATGACTAAAATGGAATTGTTTTGGCCACTCATCTAAAAGCATAAAGCATCCTGACATCAGATGCCTCACTGAACTCTGGACCTCACATGTCTTTTCTCAAATATTGCCGTTTCTTCTGAGTGTTGCATATTTTATCCAGAAAATAACAGTGAGGTCCAGTTTTCTTTAAGAACAGATTTAGAATATGACAACTTCTGCTTTTGAAAGTAGATTGCTGTAGACACCTCTGGGCCTTGCTCTAAATATAAATCACCCATGCAGTATGCTTGTCAGCTTAGGCCAGACATGTCATACAAGGGTTGGTTGGGTTTTGGATTTCTTTTTCTTTTTTTTTCACCTAGATATAAGCAAACCTCAGTGTAGAAATTTGAAAAACAACCGGACTACTGTCATCTTCAATTAAGAGAAAGAAACAGAAGCACTTCGCTTAAGCCCTTCTTTCCCATATGGCTCATAATTTGTCAAGACTGCCATTTTCTTCTCCTGAAGTGATTTAGAAGGCAATTTCTATTTTGATACAGGTCCTGAAGAAGTAGACAACATCATGATATTGCTTTTTTCATAGCAGAAGAAGAATATGATATGAGACTAACTTATAAGTACCAGACTTTATGGCAAACATGGAATTCTCCATGCCCTGAATGGGAATGCTCAGTACCAGCACAGTTCTGGTAGAGCTTTAATCAAATGTGCTTTTCATTCAGCTCTAATTAGGAAACACAACTTTGCTGTGCTGTTCCCAGTGATATTGGACAAGATCAATGGAACTACATTTCTACACTCTACATCTTTAAAATCTGTGTCAAAGCAGTGATTTGATATCCGCTTCTTAATCATTAGTTCACAGGGTACATAGTTGGTGCTTGCAAAAAATTTAGCTTTGTATCTTTAAGGGTTACATGTTTCCTTTGAGACTGATACTAATTTCAGCAGAGCCCTGGGCAAGAATAACATGAGTGCTGCAAGCCTCCATGAGGCTCTCTCCTCAGTAATGCTGTGGAGAGAGCATCTTTGCACACCCATGACAGGCCCTAATCTTTCCTTCTCAGCTATCTGTGACTTTGCCCCCTCAGGCTACGATTGTGCCATCTTTTCATTTTTGAGGCTTTGCAGACTTTGACAGACAGTGCTGGAAGCCAGGAGCAGGGGAGGGATGTGATAAGGAAGAAGGATATGTTGAGATTGAGAGGGAAACTAGGGAATTCAGTATTTGCCGTGGCCTGCCAGTATCAAGTCAGTGTACAATGTGGATAGAGAGGTGTGGACTGAAGAAGTAGGTGGACATACTTATGAAGCAGAGCTCTGGGAAGATGGATCTCTCTGTGGGTAATAGACTGAATACTACAGCTAAGGTTTCCTAATCTGTCTAGTAATAACAAGGAATCTTTCTCAGTTCCTGCAGACTTTTTCACAACATAGAGCATACCCTTTTCATATGCAATATGAAAGAATCTGGCAGGCACAAACAACTTCTTCAGAAAGAAATTTTTACATTGTAGTAGAAGAGATTGATACACTAAACACTACAAGCTGCGAGAATGGGTCAGTGAGACTCATTCTCACTTTTAGCATGAAGGAAACAAACTTTTTGGGTCTCCAGGAATCTCCAGTCACACATGAGTGACACCAAAAAGTTGACAGCTCTATTTGGTAATTTATCCTCCTGTAGGTTTTGTCTTTCTAGACCATCTGTCAAAAAGATACAAAACCCACAAGATGTTGAAGTGGGAGCAGTTATAGCTGTAAACAAGCATTAGTCAAGACTGTGCTACCTGGTGACTTTGATCTTCTTTCTGTTACCTGTTCCTTCACCTTGCAAACTTTCCTAATCAATGCTCTTTTATCAGTCTTGTCCTTGTTCTGTATTTGAAATTCAGCTGAGATATCCTTAGTGTAACCAATCTATCAGCTAGCTTCTAGATATTAAACAAATCTATCAGATCTAGATCAACCATTCTATTTTCATCCCACAGGTCTTTTTCTTGTTAGACAGCTTCTGAATCTAGACTGCCTCTTCAAAGTTCACCTTGCACAACAGCATCTGAGTGGTAAGCAAAAGAAAAGGATATAAGAAAATGCAGCTATTGTCAGAAATGGAGACAACTACAAAAGTGGGTCATGAGAGTATTCTACAGCAGAAGCTCTAAATCTGTGAAGTGGGTCAAAAAGTAAATTAACTCTCAGCATCTACCTGCGAAAAGTGCCCATCTGCACACTGATTTCAAAGCTGTTTCAACATGCAGATTCATAGATTTTAAATTCAGATGGCTCTGTGATGATCACCTGGTCTGAAGTCCTGTGTTATACATGCCTTAGGACTCACTAAAAAAAAAGTCCTTCTTTACACCCCTACATCAGTATTTGAAATACAAGATGTATTAAAAAAAATCAGTCATATTCCCAGGTAGAGAATTCATCATAAGCCCTGTGTGTTGAACTTCAGTAACTATCATCATTGTTACAATACTTCGATTTTATTTCTGATCTGAATTGGTCTATCTTCAGCTTCCAGCAGTTAGTTCCTGTCTGAGGCACTTTGTGTCTGATTTGATTGCCCTGTATTACCAAATTTCAGCTTCCCACCTAGATTGTCAAAGGCTTCTCTTGCATTCATATTGCATATCATTTGCATGTGATCAGGAGATAGAAAGAAAGATTTATGATGTATTTATTAAAAAATATATATTTCAGGGCCAATTAATAACATATTGCAGGATATATGCTTGTTTTTTTTCAGAATGAGCATTAACAGTCCTCTCTCCTAGACTGCACAGGTCAGAGTTTTCTTGCTGCTGGCAATTTGTATAGTGATTGCTACCGTGTAGAACAATCTGACATTTTTTCGCTTGATGGCAAAAATCAGATTGTTTTAATTCTTGAGAAAAATTATGCAAGCTAAAAAGGCAAAAAACACAAGTCAAAAACCTCATAAATTTGTCTGACTGCTAGATTATATTTCACCATCCGTAGCACAAAATAAATATGTAACTTGGAAAATAACAAGAGACACAAATCTTGCCTCCCAGAGCTATTAGCCATTTAGTTCTGAGCATAACCTCATTTATTTTTGTAACCCTTAATTTGATTTCAAAAGAGATGTGTGATAGTGTAGCTAATTTCACCCTTATATCCAAGCTAATTTGCCTTGCCTTTACATGTAGCATTATGTAGCTGGAAAAGATCATTTTATTAGGATAGAGTTATGGCAAAAGTGCTTATTATATTCTGCATGTGTACTGGGTGTTTCCTCTGCAACTTAGAATCAACTGATTCCATTCTGTGCCTCCCATTTTCCAGGTCCGATCCTATTCCGTTCTATGCTGTCTAGTGACAACAACATTGAAGGGTTTAGGAACTGCATTAAAATACTCCCAGGTGAGAGGAGAAGCACTTTGCAGCCTCTATCAGAAACAAAAACAGCTACAGAAAATGTAAGGCAGAGCAAAACCAAGACCAGTAGAATTGCTCATGTAACCATCTTAATAAAATTGGATCTTCTGAAATTACTTTGGATTCTTTTGGATGAAGTGAGATATGTTCAGGTAAATGTGACTATTATGGAATTTATTTTTTTTTTCTGGATGATTCCAAAATACTTTTGATAGTGCAGTGGTAAAAAGTGAATAAATTCACTTGTTTGATGCTCAGAGCTGAACAGTGGAAAATACATAAATTCTATATTGTCCAGGTCAAGAGTTTAGATATAGTTTTCTTTTAATTCAGTTTACCTCACCAGCAAAATAAAATCCTTGTTTCTATAAAATAAAGTATCTGTTTAGTATCTATTTTTTATTTATATTTTTATATATCACAGTCAGACTACAAAGATGCTGTGAGTAAAGGTGTAAGATATGTGACGTACATGATATAGCTATGTAATTGGATGATGTACATTCTAAAATTCCAGCCAATGAGAGGAAATCAAATCTTTCCAAAGAGCACATAAGTGACACAAGCATCTTTCCAACACCAGAACATAAATCAAAATACATTTAAGTTCTATGTTAAGTATTATGTTTTTGAGGGGATTTTCCGTTGCTTCTAGAAAAATCTCTATGTAACACTGAGTTTTAGGTAAAAAGAAGTATCAGAATATAAGAAAAGCATTCTCTGTAGGTTTACACGAACTAAGAACACTCAAAAGCAGCAGCAGCAACAAAAATACAGAATATTTACCCTCCATGCTTCCAGAAGTATTTTTAATGCAGACTAAAAGAAGGGTGAAATTCAAAACCAAGTGCCTCACAATTGAACAATAGATTAGCACACCAAGATTGCTTGCCAGTGTTTGTGGACATGAATGGGACCAGACAAGGTACACTGAGACCACTTCACGTGACTTCACACAACCACAGCAGTGAGAAAGAATGTCACAGAGGCTATAACCATTATTTATTACCTTACTGAGACCTTTCTTCACAGACAGCAGACAGATTAATATCAATGGGAGTTAGGCTTGCAAGTAGCCATGGGTATACTGTAAAACATGAGTTGAAATAAGATATGCGAAGAAGAGAAACAAATGGGTGCATTACAAAGCATTTCAGATCAGGTAGTTACAAATTAGTAATGTGGTATTGGCTATTCAGTCTTTTACTGGGAAATAGATAAAAACAACACAGTCTCCTGATTGCTCAGGCTTTCCTCTTCCTATCAATAGGCCAGGCACCAGCAAACCCCCAGATGCAGAAAGGCACCAGAACCTGTTTGGCTTCCCATCTGAGCTTCTCATACCCTGAGGCAAGGCTGAGAGCAGGAATGGAGCATGATGCATGCTAACACACCAAGAGGGTACTTGTCACACGAGAAGATCCAGAGGTCTCCTGGAGGGAATCTCACGCTTTCTCTTAAAAGGTCTCAGTGTTTCTTATTGAGCCTGTCCAGGTCTAACCAGGCTTGGTAGGGATATAGGGCAGGGCTTTTCAGCCCTCAGGGGGCCCTGGAGGCATTCTGGCAGATGGACACAGAAAGTCTATGGGGATGTGCTCCTGGGGTAAAGAGGAAAATACGTCTGGGAGTTTTAGTCCTGAGGAGCACAGCTTTGAAGGCCTTGTTTTACGGTGGTGCACAGGCCAGACTTTCTGATATGTCTCTGGATAGAAACCTCAAGCCAGGGGCACACCAAGGCAACTTCCTTGTTATCCAAAGATGAACATGAGTTACTTGACTGCTGCGAATACTTTCTATGGCACATTGTAGGTTCCTCTCCAGTGCAAGTGGTAATGGGCTCTGACAGTTGGCGTTCAGGTAAAAAATATGTACTGCACTTCTGTCATTTTGTCTGTTGGGGATGGGTAGGAAGATAAGATGTTCTGCTCAGCATCGAGTTAGTCCTCAGGGCTTTGTCTCTGTGCACTTGTAAGTCATCCAGGGAAGAAGTAGATAAAATGTGGTCCTAAAATTAGGGAAATATAGAATTGATATCAGAATATTGCTCTTGAAAGTGAAGAGTATTATGAGGGCACACTGATGATACTAGTGACTATCAAGGAGATCACTTCCATTTTATGTATTGTTAAATTTGTTTAATATCTAGAAGCTAGCTATACAAAATTAAAATCTTGCCTGATTAAGCTATCACAGCTACATATACAGCAATGATGGTTCAGCTGCAGGCTATGGCTATCAAGTCTCAAGTTTTTTCTAGTTGTTGACTAGGGAATTTCTTTCTCCTTGGGTCTTACAGTGCCAAAGTCTGTCTAGGTCAGTCAATACAAAGTGGCACTGCTTGAAGAACCAGCATGATTGAGTGGAGCATGGCAGTAGTATGTTTGTAACTGGTTGTATTGGGTCTGGCTGAGCCGCAGTTCATTTCCCCATAGCAGCCCTCACAGTGCTGTGCTTTGCATTGGTAGCTAGAAGGGTGTTGATAAAACACTGGTGTTTTGGCTACTGCTCAGCACAGCATCAGCACTGTAACATTCCTCCCTCAATCGAGGGCAAGATCCTGGGAGGGGACACAAGTAGGCCAAAGCTGACCCAAACTGACCAAAGGGATATTCCATACCATATGACGTCAGCTCAGACATCAAAGCTCAGGCAAGGAGCAGGAAGGCAGCCATTCATTGTCTCCAGTGGCTGCCTGCTGAGGAACTGTCACGTGTGCTGAAGCCCTGCTTCACACAGGCCAACGATCACTGCTGATGGGAAGTAGAGAATAAACCGTGTTATCTTTCACTTCACTTCGCTTTTGTGCACGCAAGCTCCAGCTTTACTTTTGCTTTAAATAAAGTGCCTTATCCCAACCCATGAGTTGTTTTCCACCTTACTCTCTCCCCTGTCTGGCTTGGAAGGGGAGTGATAGAGCATCTAGATGGGCACCTGGCATCCAGCCAAGGTCAGCCTACCACACTGGTTGAATAATAATTGAAATTAGTTTTATAAAGCAAAAATATTTGGCAATAAGTATAAAAAGTTGGGTATAGACAAAATTCAGCTTTGTGATTTTATGCAGCTACTTTCTGAGAATGTCACAGTTACAGGCTGTTATGGACACCATCTACTGAAAACCATTTTCTCTCCAGATTCTTCTGCAGGAAATAATTTTATTTTTATTGCTTCTGTGTTGTTGAGCAACAATGCAAAATTTTGCATGGAATATATCCTGTACCTTCCTGATACAGAGCTGGGAGAGCTGCAGTTTTAGTCATTAGGAGCAGTAGTTCTCTCTGCCAGCATTAGCCAACTTAAAGTTTGGTTCCCAGTATAAATGAATCTTTTTTTTTTTCTATCCTTTTAAACGAAGAGACATAGACACCTCTAGAGGACCTCACCAGTGCCTGTGTTCTTCTAATTTAGAAGTGGGTGGTTTTTTGGGTTTAGTGTGGGGGTGTTTTGGTTTGGGGTTTTTTTTTTGGGGGGGGAACTGTTTTGGGGGTTTTTTTCTATTGTTGTATCTGCAGAGAATCAATAGGCTAAATCCAGGTAACTTCCCTTGTAGTGAACAAACCAGTCTGGCTCTGCAGGTATAATGAATCAGGACATTCCAAACAGCAGGTTAAAGGAAAAGGTTGGTTTAATTTTGTTTATGACAGGACTGTCTTCTTTTCTGAGCTTCATGGGTGACTATATAAAATAAAGTCTGTAAATAAAAAATGTTTGCAAATATAACTCTACTGTTGGCTTGGAGGGAGGTTGTAAGACTAGAAAATGGCACTGCTTCTAGCACTATATGCATGACATAGTGAAATGTCTGCTAGCCATAAAGGTAGCAGTTCCTCACAGAGTTAAATATCAAAGATTAGAAGAAATTTAGCAATTCATTTTGTAGGATAAAGTAGTTCTTAGCATATACCTAGAATGGTAAATTATTTTAAACTACTGAGAGGTTTTCAGTAGGCTAGCTGGGGAGTTTGAGATCACAGTATATATTTAGCTCAATGCATTTTTTTTCTTTAAAGCTGCTAGCTTGTAAATCATGAACCAGTAATCATTTGTTGAAGTTTTAAGTTTCTATTTTTGCACATGAAGTTTCTGACAAAGTTTTTGAAGACTGTTTTCTTTCTCATCTGTGTTTTTGAGGCTAAACATATTGCATCTAAAGTTTGAGGTAGGTTTTCTGGGACAAGCTATTTGGGACATTTCATTTCATTTAAACCTATTCTTCCAGTCCTGCCGTCTTTGTACAGTAGCATGTAAATTCTTGATAACTGTTCTATATGGATAAGCAAGACACTATCAGCCATTTCCCCATTATAATAGCAATTTTGTAAAAGCATAACAGTTGTCCAAGCTGTTTAACCTGTGGTCAATATTTAAAGTACTCCAATTGCAGACTGCTATACACATTCATAACTTCCATGCACTGCTTCCACACATAGAGTTGTTACTGCTTCAGAGCAGCTGGTCATACATGATTATAAGCAGATCTAGTGCTACTTTCATCCTGTCTGCAATCTTGACATATCTGTCCTCTGCTGAAAATGAGTAACGTGGCTTCACAACAATTCAAGTGTCATCGCACTGTGTTAACAAGGCCTTCATATCAGCATCAGGAGGAAATGTGTTGACACCTTGTTTACAACCATTCTCTGTGGACATCCAGAACTGACTCTCCTTTCACTCACATACATTTTACAGTGGTGCAATTCCACTGGATTTACAGGTACTTTTCCTTGATAGCCACCTGAGAAAAGAATCAGATTCATAATTCTCTCGTTCTGCTCATTCTGCAGTTGAACGTCAGTTTAAGATCTCAGAGGCACAGAATGCTTTGAATGCCTTTGTGCATAGTTGTTTTAAACATAAAATTATAAACATAACAGTACAGGTTTGAATTAAAAGAAAAAACAAACCACATTTAAATGTAAAAGTGTAAGCATATTAAAGCATAAGCCTGATAATCATGTGAACGATATTTTTTATTATCCCAGAGTGCTTAAGGCTAGCAGTTTGGTCTGGCCTTCCAATATGGACCAGTGATTTCAATTTTAAGTCCCTGATATGTAATTTTTGGACTGAGACTTAAGAGAAATTCCATTTTTTTCTCAATGATTAAAATTTATTCTATTTTTAAAATTTTATCATGGGGGTGAGGTGCATCTAGAAATAAGCAGCAAAAAATACAGATTCTTCTGTATCTCTGGTGTAGCTTCTATCATAATCTCTGACTTCACTCATCAGGACATCCCTACTACCTGTTAACAATCTGCTTATGGTCTTTACTCCTCAGTTGATCCCAGACAGGCTTGTGATACTCAAATGCCTTAAATGCCATTCCTGTT